AACTCCAGGAAACTCCATCCTGTAGCAAGTCACTAGCGAGCATCAGATTAATTTTTCTATAGTTTGGTTTGTATCAGTATTCAGATTTCTACTCATTTCGATGATTATGATGGTGTTGGTGTTCCGTTCGTTGTTACTGTTTGGCGCATAATAATTAAAGATTATCATACCGAGATTTATGTCTCATAACTTTGGTTATAACTTTCAGAGTTTGGCTAAATCGTCCTTTTCTTCTTACAAGGACTTCAAATTTTTATTATCATAATAAGAGGACTTTTCTTTTACACGAGATCTGATTTATTTCATCCTTTTGGTGAAAATGTGTTTTCATTGACACTGATTGGAAATTTAAATTTCTCAGTGTCTTTATTCCTACTGGATCTAAATGATCAATCTCTACTGATGAGGTTGACAGTTTTCACCAACCACACAGGTGCTCCAGGTTCGATTCCCGGCTAATTCACCCTTAAACTTCATCTAGCTGGTAGTAAGCTTGGTAAAGAAATAAATTTGGGTGTGAGGCTACTCTTCCTACCCCTGTTAGGATTAACACCAACGTTACACTGAAACTGCAATGCTTAAACCTTGAAACTTTATTATTATTATTCCCTTGCGTTCCGAGTGGAACATAAGGCTTCAACAACACATCTCCACCTTCTTCTATTTTCTGCCGTCCTCTTTACCCATAATCTCTCATCTCCTCGCCACAAGATCTCCTCTATGTCACCCTAGGACGACCGACTTATCGCTTCCCGTTTAGATTCCACTCTATGTTTTATTGGAAACATTAAAACTATAAAAATCGCTATTGATTTCTACGCTCTTTGGGCTGATCCCGCCGTTAGTTACCATTTTTCAGAGTGGGTTTCCCCTTAATACAGTATTGTGTGACACTGCTGTATTTCAGTCATAATGATATAAGATTAGTGATAATAATGGCTTGATTTGTTGGGTAGATTAAACCGAGTATACTCTAGTTAATTATAAACCTTTGATTAGACATCAGGCAGCAACTAGTTACACGTGTCTTGTCCTAAGTGTTGAGGGAAAACTGTATTCTGGCACTCAAGTCTTTAATTGTGGCCACTATGTTAGGTGGCTCCCCAACAAGGCGCACTCTGAATTGTTATGATTAGATAGTTGGGGAAACCGGGGAGAAGCCCTGCATCACCCAGGTTTCGTGTTTGTTGGCACTCACCAGTCAGCAAGGTGTATACCGTAATCCTAAAATAACTCATGTCGCTTTTGTGATTCGAACCCGTGTCACCCAGTGGGTCCTGTAGTCAGAGACGTCATCACTGAACTTGACTGATAAAATTCAGTCCGCAGGAAACAAAGGACCACACACATGGCACTCTTTATTACATAGTGTCCAATCAAAGTATTCAATACACTCTTACTGGAGGCCAGTTGGGAGCTTACATAGCTCAGTGGTAATGTGATGTTATCAGATGGTTGGAGGCAATCGGCAGGAAGGCTTGGACTTACGTTTCGTGCCAGTTGGCACTTGTTATCAGGGCGCACCTGCAACCTTGAAGGAATTCATGTCCCTTCAGAGATTCGAAGCCGCGTCACCCAGTGCTGCAATCACAGACGTTACCACTGAGCTATTCGGGCTCACGATTGACCTCCTGTAGAAAAATGTACTGGATACTTTGATTGGACACTAGTAACTAGTGTGATGTATCTAGTACTTTCTTTGGTGCAGACTGAATTCTGTCAGTTAGGTTCGCAGTGTGGCCACCATTCTAGGTAGCCCACCACCACGGTGAACACTGATTTGGTGATATTAGACGGTTGGATGCATGAGTTGCTTGAAGGTTGCAGATACGCCCTGATGACGAGTGTCAACTGGCACGAAACCTAGTTCTAAGGCTTCCTGCCGATTACCGCCAACTATCTAACAGTTCAGAAGCCGTAAGATGATGATTGATCCAGTTGGAGGTAATCAGCAAAAAGTCGTAGCTCTAGGTTTCGTCCTTGTTGTTATCACACGCCAGCAAAATGTACCAGCGATCTTGAAGAAAAATTATACCCCTTTGGAGATTTGAATTTGTCTATAGTTGTATTCTTCTATAACTCCATTAAAACACTTTCAAATATTTTCACCTAGATACCACTCGGTCAACCCATAGATTTATGTGTTTACCTATTAGGAATAAAAACTAATTTGTCTTATTTTGTAACATGCCTTGTTTATTTTCAAAAGGAAGGTGAGATGTCATTCTGCCATCCTTATTGTCAAATCAAATGATGTGAATACATTAGCATAAACATTTTGTTTACCAGTATATATTGAAGTCAACGTGTACCAACCAAACTAATGTACAGCATTAGGTGTATTGAAATTAATTGACAATATACCTGATGCATCATCAAAATGACTTACTCCTGTCTGTATGTATATACATTTATTTGACACGACTTTCTGTCAGTCAGTTTCATCTAATTTGTTTTTTGACAAATACTGCTTTAGAAACATCAATGTGACACTTTCTAGCTTTTGACTTAGAGGTAGTTCTTAGGCTTATTTGTTTTGTACATGCGTATATTTAGGCTTTTGTGAGATCACAATTTATTTGTTTAGTGTCAAGGCAAACTGAGTATCTTAACTTGTGATCACTTTTGGGAGTAATAGTTAATTCTAAACCGGAATTTGACAGGTGTCAGCTGCATAAAAACAGCATTTAATACACCTAGATAAACGACTTTTTACGACCTCAGCGACAGTGTCACCCTTGAACGACAAACTCATAAACAGTGTCTTCTTTGGCACCGTGATTTGACTGGAGACGGTTTCTTTCTTGATGTTTCTGTCAATAAACCTTCTAGGGTATCCATTATTTAAGAGATTTGTACGAAGGCTTTCTAGTTCATTGTCGAATTCTACATCATAGGGAACGGATATGATTTCTCTTCCTGTCCAGAGGTACCCAACTGTTGAAGTGAGAGTGTACTGCCCTGTAAATGTTGACTTTCGATAAATCGACCTTTTTAACATGCCATCCTCTCTTCTGTCTAACATCACATCTAAGAAGTTTAATGCGGAATTCGATTCTTCTTCGATAGTGAAAAGCATCGATGGGTGAGAACCATGAAATTTTTCAAGAAGCTCAACAGTTGAGCAGTTGTCGCTACAAATAATGAAGGCGTTATCAATATATCGCTTATACATGCACAAACTTGAAGTTGTTTCATTCAATGGACCACTGTCTAAGCTCGCCATGAAGACATCCGCTAGAAGAGGTCCTAATGGGAACTCCACGTAATTTATCCATGAAAGTTATTTACAGGACTGAATCCAACGAAACCAAAAGCTTACGTTTTCTCCACTTAAGACTGTTGTAGCCAATTAATTTCATAATATATGATCTACTCGCAGTGATCAGAATTTTTCGTGTTCCTGACAAAAAACTGTGACAAATTTTCATCTCAGAATGTGTAATTAGCAAATGAAAATTGAAGTCAATTTTAATTTTTTCCTTTTAATCAAACATTTTTCGACTTTTTATTTGAAGCAAAGTCAACCAAAGAATTGAACGAACTCATTGGTTCTCAGGTGTATTCACTTTGTTACATATCTAAATGATTATTTATACTAGTTCAACAATTATAATGAGGAAACATTGAAGTTTGCTCGTTCACATGATGACTACGGCATAGAGGGGACTAAAACAGAGACTAAGCCAAGCATTAAATACCTTGGAATAGTTCTATCCTCTGATCATTATCGGTCATCCAATATCTTGTCTATTTCTAAAAAAATACTTCATCTAACCTGCTACATAAAGAAGTTAAGACAATCGAGAATCACTCAACGTCTATTTTTACAATTTGTTAACTCTTGCATCTTACTTATTGTTATTTATTGCCCCCTACTAGTTTTTCCTGGACTACTCAAAAACGACTGTGTCACATTGTCGAAGGTATTAAAGATTGTCAGTAGGGAAAGTGATATGTCACTAAGTCAGCTCGTAACAATTGTAGTCGATAGACACCTGAACTCCTGTGATAAATGGTCCAAAACCATATTGTCTGACTCTCAGCACCTTCTTTATTCTCAACTCTATTCTATCTCATCAGGTAGGACTGGAAGTCATTATAAAAGATTATATGGTTGTACAACTAACTATATTTGGCTTACATTCTATGTAATGGAGATAGTGTTAAGCGTGAAACTTATAACTCACTATGTTTTTAGCGCTTCGTGCGTCGGTGGCGCAGCAGTAGAATGCTCGCCAACCACGCCTCATGTGGTCCAGGGTTCGATCCCCGGCTGCCAACGCACTCCTTTACCTCACTAAACCAGTAATAAGACTGGTAAATAGGGAAGGTTGGGCATGGGGCTAGCAAACCCATCCCATAGGAAAAAATAGACACCACTGGTACCGAGCCTTCAGAGCTACAGCTTAAAGCCCTGTGTGCGTCGGTAGCACAGCTGTTAGGACGCTCGTCGACCATGCACATGGTCTGGGGTTTGGTCCCCGGCGGACGAACTCCTTTACCTCGCGAAGCCAGTAATAAAAAAATAAGCTGGTAAAGAGGAAAGGCTGGACATGAGGCTAGAAATCCCATCCTGTAAAAATAAACACTGCTGCAGAAACTTCAAGCCTCTAGACTGAAGTAGCCCTATATTCCACTGGGAACGTGAAGGAATAAAAAAAATTTTAAAAATGTAATTAGCAAAATAATTGGCTCTTTTATCCCCTCCTATTTGTAATTTATGGTGACACTATTTCTGCTATCTTATAATTCTAGTTATTACTATCATTATATATTTTTTGAACATTTTTGAACTTATTGTTACTGTTAACCACAAAAAGTGTTGCTATCACCAGTTTTGGTTACCTATACTCTGTAACTTTTTAACGTTGTTCTTTCTGTTGAGTAAATTAGATGCAATATTGTACCAAATGCTGAGAATTCCATTCTGTGTCATAAGTACTATTTTGAAATAATAAATTAAATCTTCACTTTTCACATATCTATTTCCCCTTTAGAAAAACCTCAAATATCTCAAATTAGCACAAATCAAACAGTTCGTGTTGGCAACCAAGTGATACTGAATTGTCATGCCTCCGGTGATCCACATCCCCAGATCAGTTGGATAGTTAAAAAACCCGGTTATAAAGTTCCAAATGTTTATACACCTTTGGCGGATACATCAAATGAAGCAGACAATGGACAGTCTGGTGATTCATCTGTTACAAATGATGGATCATCATCATCATCGTCAGATCATTTACATGAACAACAACAACAACAATATCTACAACCCCCGCCAGGTTCAAATTCTCCAGTTGCTTCATCTGCTTCACTAGATCATAGTTTAAATAATGCACCAAATCCAGATGCTGTTGTAGCTGCAATTTCAAGAAATATGCAAGCTAATGGAGGAAGAATAACAGCATTTTCTAATGGTAGTCTAATTATCAGGCATGCACATTTATCCGATCAAGCTGAGTATATTTGTGTTGCTGGGAATAAACATGCTATTAAAACACGTCAAGGTGTATTTGTTAGAGTTTTAAGTGAGTATTTATATTATATTAAGAGAATATACTTGGATTTCATTTGTTTAGTTAGAATTTACTTAGCCTTTTGTGTACAATGTTAACAGGGTTGAAGTTTGATCGTGGATTGATATCAGTTAGAGAGCCACTGAAAACCATTTGGGAGTACTGGACTGCCAGCTGTTTCTTCCTAGTTCGGGACTTATCGGCTATACGCACCCATTAGGGTTCGAATCTGCGACCTTATGGTTACAAGGCAAGCTAGAATGGCAATTCAGCCACTGGAACCTAAGTGAGGAGGAAACAGCTAGCTGTTCAGTACTCCCAACTGGTTTTCAGTGGCTCTCTAACTTGAAGAAAATCAAATCCCCGCAAACAAACTGCTGACAGTTAATAGGGTTAGTTGGAATATGCGACTTTTCTGTTTGATGTCAATCAGAAGCTTAGATGTGTTTGAAAATCATAAGTAAATCGTTAAACCAAGTTATGCTTTATTATAACATATACAAAATCGGAGATATGTCTGGTGATATTTACAGAAATTTGAAGAAATTCGTGACTTATCTCACTTTCATGGTTTGTATAGTTTACTTGTAGCTTGTCCATTGCTATACACTATTATAACCGAAATATAGGCCGTCAGGATGATCATAAAATCGTTGTTATTATGATTAATGGTGGCGTGCTTAAATCATTGAGCTATCATAATTTCCCTTCCCCTTACTGCATTGTGTTTGAATCATACAGTTATATCAAATGATCACCACATAAACTCACGCGCACGGTTTAATTAGATTTTAACGAAACGCTGTGCAATTTGTTGAAGGAAGTTAAGAATTTGCTCACTCCTGATATGCAACAACACTACATCATATGATATACTTCTGATTAGCAATTTACATGTGAATTCTGTATGGCAAGGAAATATTTTGGAACCAAATGCACTGAAAATTTGTGTACTATGTATTCATATATTGTCTGAAATAAAGCTTTATTAATATTATTATTCTTAGTGGAACAGTGGGCGGCTTCAACACCATATCTGTATTTTATCCCATTGTCTGCAGTCCTTTTTACCTATCTCCATGATTGCCCATAAGCTTTCATCTGCTACTGATACGGTCTCTTCCACTTCACTGTTGGACCCATTCCTGACTTTTCGTTTCTCATTCGAGTTCTACTCGACTGAGAGCGTAGTGCGTGATGTCACTCAGCGTTCTCCTCAGTGTGTGTCCAATCAATCAGAAAATGAGCAAAGAGAATTAGCTATGTTAGATTGTAAAATCAAACAAACGGAAGAAGGTAAACTGCACACTAGTGTTTATAAATTGCCAACGCATTCTAATAGATATTTAGACTTTAATTCATCTCATCCGTTCGTTGTGTGTAAAGGCAGGCTTAGTTAAGTGTCTAACAAACCGAGCATTAACACTAAGTAGTACAAAACAGACCTAAATGATGAAATAAAAGAGATAGGAGAAGCGTGGATATCAAATAACTATCCTATAAAATTGATTAAGAAGGTCAGAAAAGGTCAAAAGCAAAATAAAAATAATTGTGAAACTAGTAATGATAACATACATAAGAAAGAATATAAGTCATCTACTGTTATACCATATAAGGGGGGGGGGTACATCTGAGACTCTACGTAGGATTCTTAATAAAGCAGGAATTAGAGTGGTATTTAAACCTACAAACTCACTCAGGTAGGACAAGCTCTGTAGGCTAAGGGACCCAGTGGACCCAATTTGACAAAATGATATAATTTACAAAATACCCTGCAATGACTGTCAGTTAGGTCAATTACATAGGTCGAACTAGTAGGTCGTGGGTAGTCAGATTGTCGGAACATAAGAATTTAGCTAAGGTAAGAATGGTTGACTTCGCGAAGATAAGTAATTTAAAAAAAGCTCAGCAATTGCAATGTATGCATTAACACACTATCACACAATAGGGTGGGATAAAGTCAAAATTCTAAGAAGTAATCTATGTAGGTGGAGAGAGAGAGGTTGCTTACTGAATCCTGGTTCATTGAGTCTATACCCAACATATGCAACAGAAATGACTCAATGCAAATACCAGAGATATAGAAGATATTATTACCACCAGTCAGTCAAATCAGAAGAGGATAATAAATAATCTTAAAATTCCATTTCAATTCACGTACATCATAACATTCTAACAAGTTACTTATTTTGACTATAAAAACACTAGTCTTATTTCCCATTTGATTGTTCTGGATTGATAACACTAATATTATTTCTGAAAGTACATTTTCTTATATTGATTTTTATTCGAATGTCTAACTAATTCCACTCATGTATATAAATGAAGTAAAAAGGTTGTTTGAGTGACTTGATATGATTATAAGTGGCAATAATTTGTGCTCGAAACGTGATTTATCAAAATAAAATCTTATCTATAATGGAATTATACTCTACCACAGTGCTCAAGTTTTATACTTATATCAACAATCTCTATTTACGTTGATATATTTTTTGGACGATAAGTTCTTGGTTTGGTTCGTTGCCTACCGGAGTTTTTTGTTGCCTTATCCTTCCTGGCTGACGGCCATTTAATCCTCGATATCGAGCCAACGAAGGCAGATGTTGATAAAAGTCTATAGCTGGCTGTAGGAAATGCTTTTAGTGACGCGCCAAGTCTCTGAAATGAAATAGAAATGAATAAAAAAATCAGTAGACGTTATGAACATGAACCTTTTTTTACAACACACTCCAAAATGTAGTTGGTGGATGGTGACTAGCAGCGGAATCCAGAATGCGCATTTCGTCCCATTTGGAACTCGTCAACTGTATGCACCTGCATTCCCCGGTGAGTGATGATGTTCCCACCGAGGCTCGAACCCAGTGCCCATAGTTTCACTGGGGAATGCAGGTACATCCAGATGACAAGTCCCAAATAGAACGAAATGCGCATCCTGGATTCCACTGCTAGTCAATATCCACCAGTTAAAACCTAATTACATGCCCAGACATTGTCGAAGCATCTGCACAGTAAGCCGACATGTCTTAGTCCAATCAATCGACGGGAAAATCTAAAAAATTCAATTAAATAATACATACCAAAATGCTTGAAAGTACTTCTTTCATTTTGAGGTAGCTTTCTTATTACAAAAAATACTGTAACTATAGATGATGGTGATAGTGATGACTCATCAGCGTTGTATACATTTTGTTTATTTTGCAATCATTCACCAATATATACACAAGGAATAGACTTTTATTTCACAAATTACAAATTACACTGGGTGTTTTTCTTTTCTTTTTGCCATACAAAGAAATTGCAAAATCATTGAAACACACTATCGGTGATTGTAAACCCTGTAAACCCTACACTGACGCTTTTCAATGTTAGTCATTTTTCGTGTTTTGCCTTCATACAACAGCCGAAATTTAAGCTGATTAATGGGTTTTTTCCTCTCTCGTGTCTAACATATCCCTCGCCCACTCCTGTAGAAGGAAAGAAGGAAGAAGGGAAGAAGGGAAGATCATTCACTGCGCACCATATCACATCTATAAGTATATAATATATGAGTAATTAGTATTACTGTTGTTATTATATTACAACACATAAGGGAATATTAAACCTTTACCTTTACTTTTTGATTCGTTTTCACCTGTTTTCTTTGTTGTTGTTTTTTGGGGGGATTATTTACTTACCTACTGACATTTTCATTTGTGTTTTTTTTCTGTTTTCACGCATTAATTAATTAATCAGCTCCAGAGGAATATACCCGACAACAACTCGGTGAAGATGGTTCTACAACGGGTATGATGAAGACAATATTTATTGTTGTTGGTTGTGCCGTTGCCTATTTAGGCTTAATTATTGGCTTAACAGCCTTTTGTAGTATACGTATGGTGCGTACTCGACGTAATCGATCACGTAAAAGTGGTAAGTCCATTCACAGTTACAGTTGAGTATAAAATTCATTAATCATTTCTCATTCCTTTATGTAGGAATGCATATATATATATATATATATATATATATATATATATATGCACACAAGTAGATGTTTATGTATGGAATGTTTTCCCAACTCTTACTATTTCAAAAAGACTCCCTCTATATCTCTCCTAGCACAATATATCATATCTCACCAGTTACGCGTAGATCACCTTCTTACAGCTTCTAACACACACGCACACACACACACTGCATTTCTGTGCTTCTGTAAATAATGAGCTTCTTTTTACCCTTTTTTCACATTATTTTTGTTTGTTTTGACGTTGAATGTTAACTTGTGTGTGTGTGCTTTTTCTGTTAGTTTCTTGTTCAGCTGATTCTCGCTACCAGTGTTACTTTCACGTTTCCATCATCACTATCATCATCGTCATGATCATCTCATATTTTGTTGACCTGACTAAAAAACAAACTTTACATACATCATGATTAATGAGAATTTTGTTTCGCCTAACAGATGAAAAGTTATGTATACTCTGGTGAATACATTAGGATTTTTAGGTGTACAACATTCACATAGAGACATGTGTATGTGTATACTAGAGGGGTGGGTGGGGAGGAAACAACTGAAAAGTTCGGTGAATTGTAAAATCTTCAGTTTTCCCTTCTCCTCACCTCGTCGTTTTCACTCCATTATTATTTGTTTATTTATTATACTTTTTCAGCATCCAAGAGAGAGTAATCATCATAAGTGTGTAAGCTTCATGCATTAACACTTACATGCACAAACCCACACAACCAGAGATTCAGTTGTTAAGATTCTGTAAGAACTTCACATTAGAAATACATACATGAGACGAATAAATCATGTAATCAATCATTCAATGAATAAGATTACCATTGTAAGGGTTCACCTGTCTTAATTGGTAATAAAAAAGAGATTTAAGATTAATTATTGTAGGGGTAACATGATTATGGGATGGAATAATTACATCTAACCACCTTCTTTCTCTACAACTCTTCGTGTATACATTTGTTATGACGGTAATATTAATAATTGTAATGTGTTTACATCCACTAAGAATTCACATTTTAAATATAAGTATAAACATGCATATTTTAAATCCTATTTCGTTGGCGCTATTCTTTGTTCAATGTTTCAATATCTTGACCTTCACTGTTTAAAACAAAAATAACGTATAGAACTACTGAACCTAGGAGGTGTTTATTTCATTCTTTAATAGAAAGAACTTCTTTGTTATTGTATTTTGAGATTTTAATTACATTGTCTAGATGTAAGAGAGAGGAGTATGGTAATTAAAATAACAGACAAACAAAAAAAACCAGTTGACTTTACCACTTCTTGAAAAGATGATTTATGGCTCTTGTTTTATATACTTTAACATTTTGTCTTTCATATTTATTATACTTCAATAATGATAATCATGATTCATTACAGACAATTAGATTTCATCTCTAAGCGTTTTGGTCTTGTTTGTCTAGCTACACTTGATAAACAGACAATGAGATATAGTGAAGCTAAATCACTTCTGACTTCTGTTGAGGTCATTTTCTGTACACTTCATAGTGTTCACTATTCTCTGTTGCTATATTTTCTGCATGGAACAGAAGGCTTCAAGATTTGAAGTTTCAGCTCTGATTATGGTGTCGTTTTTCCGCGGTGAGATTGCTAGTCTTATGCCCAAACTTTGGCAGTCATTTGCAGGGTTATCAAGCAGGCAAGGTTTAGGAGTGCGTTGGCCGGGAGTTGAACTCTTAACCACCTGTGTTGGTTGGCGTGGTTGACGTACTTTAAATGGTGTTTTGGGTAGACAGTGAAAATACTGGATGTGTATGTATAGGAATTCACATATATTGGAATAAATCAGTTTCAGATGAATAAATTTGTTTAAATTACAAAATATAATCATTTATTCAAGAATAGGGAAAAACAAAGATTTGCTTTGACTTCATTTTCAAGCCATACATTGGCATTTATACTGCCTAAACGGGCATTAGATAATACGAAAAATTGTTCAGGAATTCAGATGAACATAAAGAAGACTGAGGTGATCAAGATAACCAACCAACCACCACAAACAGCAACAACCAGCACCAATCACCACCAGTGGGAGAGATTTGGCAGAGATTACTTCCTTCAAGTATATAGGAAGCGCGGTTTCAACCATAGACACACCGCACGGATGAAGATGTTAAATCCAGTAGGGATCGAAAAGGCAAGATACGCCTTCATCAATTTTAAACCAGTTTGAAAATCTTCTACACTCAGCAAAGGGAACAAGATTTGCATTTGCAACACCAACATTAATCCATGCAGTTATTCTATACGCTTCAGAAACTTGGCATATCACGAAAAAGATTTCCAACAGGTTGCAGACTTTCATCAACAGCTACCTTCACTGGCTCCATACTGAAGATCAAATGGCAAGCCAGAAAGAGTTAGTAACAAGGAACTGAGGGAACAAACCAACCAAGAGCTGATTGCTCAACAAATAATTTGGAGAAAATGGAGCTGGATAGAGCATGCGTTACGGAGGTCATCGCGCGCAATGCAGGCCATTGCTCGAGTGGAATCCCAATGGGAAGCAACGAGTGGTTCGTCGGTGACATGAAGGAGATCATGTGGCGAGGAGGAGATGCGAGATAGTGGACAATTGTGCGGATAGCCAGCTGATGAAAACAGCAGAAAATAGAAGAGAGTGGAGATATGTTGCTGAAGCTCTATGTTCTACTCGAAATCCAAGGAAATAATAATAAAAATAACTGACATGATGTTTTAAGGTTATAGAGTTGCACTGAATAGATTTCATAATTGTTAGATGATGATTGTGGTCGATTGGTAGGAATCCTTGAACCACTTAGGCTTCGTGCTTCTTGACATCTATAAGAAAGACGTATCTGCATTCTTGAAGGAACTTATTTCCCTTCTGAGATTTGGACTTAGGTCACCCAGTGGTGCATTCAGAGACGTTACCATTCGGTGGCTACTCGGACTTGTGATTGACCTCCTGTAGAACTATAATAGATACACTGACTGTACACCAGATAGTCATTTGTCATGTCTAGTCATTTGTCTAGTTTTACTTTTGCCGCAGACTGAATTCTATCAACCAGAATTACAGGATTTCAAGAAATCATTAAGGAAGGGAATCTGTATTAAGTGGTTTAAAAGGTGGTCAGTCAAGTGATGCCAAGAAATAAATTTTTTTAATATTTCATTTTACTGAACGGAAGTAATGCAGTACACGATAGTTAGTATACTGACTTCCTGGATAAGTGTAAAAGGATGAAGTTTACTCTAAATACGACTGAATAAATAGCGATTATTCAATAAAGGTTAGTCTACAGGCGTAAAATTATATTGGAGTTTAGGGAAAAATGGATCAGTGACGTAAGCCTGTGCTTGTACTGTAAAATACTAAACTTATCTGGCCACTACTTGCATATTACATTCAACTGCGAACAAACTGAAAGAAATGTTAGTACGTGAAACAAGCTCGACTCGACACAGCTATCAAGAATGGGATATGTACATTTGTATGTATTTACCACAGAATAAATTAACATTTATTATTACTATTTTATGATTTGAATGACTAATTTTCAATATGGAACTTTGTCCAGAGAAGTGCACCAAATCAAGTTGCTACATTCCATGTGAGGCGAAATGGTAGGGAGAAGAGAGAAAAAAGACATTCAACGGTGCTATAATAAGCAGGAATGTGAGGGAGAAAGAACAGTAACAAGGAAAACAAATGACAGTTTGGTGGATATGGGTGTCCTCAAAGAGTGAATATATCTGCACCAGTGAAAATGATTTTGATATATGTCATTAACATTGTCAAGCCGACTGAATCTTAGTGTCTTCAGGACCTCAATCAGATAGTCAACACCTCCGTACGTGGCTTAAATCAACTATCAGAGAAGTCGTAGACTGATGCTAGGTTTTTAGTTTGACAACGCCTTACTCTTTTCTAGACTAATCCTATGTAAGCGAACATTGCACTTTGAGGAGAGGAGTACCTGTATTTACGCAACACATGTAAAAGCCATCTCAGTCAACTCACTTTCACAGCGTCATTGACTGACCCTCTCTACTTAGGCAACACTACGCCTAACCTCAGTTTGGTCACCGTATTATACCATTTGACTTTGGAAAGAGAATGCAAACACCTTTGGTCAAAAACGATGTAACATTAGAAATTGGTCACTGCATTACTGTTATTCCCTTGGGTTCCAGTTGGAACACAAGGGTATGGGAGCACATCTCCATTTTGTCCTGTTGTTTGTAGTCCTATTCAGCCGGCCTCACGATTGACCATAGGCTCAAATCTTCTCCTTATACGATTTCCTCCATATTACCCTCGGACCCATACCCAACTCGTCGTTCCTCATTCGGATGCCACTCCAATGATGGCCTGGCGCGTGGTGTCACTCAACGGTTTCCTCAGTGTACTTCCGATCTGTCTCCAATTTCTTCGTCATATTTGCTGAGGGATAGGTTATTGATAAATTCTTTCCCAGAGTTTCTTGTTGCTAATTGTTTCTGGCCATCTGATCTTCAGTATAGGTCCAGTGAGTCGGTGACACAGCTTTAGAATGCTCGCCAACCACGCCTCATGTGGTCCGGGGTTTGGTCCCCGGCCGACGCACTCCCTTACCTCACTAAGCCAGTATTAAGACTGGCAAAGAGGGAAGGTTGGGCATGAGGTTAACAACCCCATCCTGTAAAAATAATAAACACTGCTACAGAAACTTCTAGCTTGAAGTAGCCCTATGTTCCACTGGGAGCGTGAAGGATCGAGTCATAGGTCCAGTGAAGATAGCTGTTGGTAAGACAATACCAGTTGTTTGCAGGGTGCCTAATTAATTGCTACTATGTTTTAGCGCGTCAATTAACACTTAATGTGTTCCGTATTTTTCTATTTTGTTAGGTGGCAAGCTACATGAAAACGGTCAACTACTTAATCCATTAAATGATCCCAATAATCCAAATAGTGGAAAGCGAGGTTCACAAGGCAGTGGTGGTGGTGGTGGTGGAGTAGGAGGAACAGGAAATTTCGAAAGTGGTTTACTCTTAGGAGGAGGTGTTCCTTCTGGAATAAACACCACAGCTAATGCATCACTCAGTCATCTACCTCATTATGGTCGGCCAGTTTTAACAAGTACATCGGGTACACGGAGTGGAACAAGTTATCATGACAACAGCACTTTACCACATCCCCTGATGTGTACAGAAGCAAGTTCAAATCAACGATCAAACATTCCGGTTAACGATACTAAATGTTGGTGGCCTGTGTCTGATAATGCCTACTATGGTCAAAATGATGCACAAGCCAAACTATTACAAACAGCCGGCACCGGAACAATAGATGGATTTGCTAATCCAATGACAGATGTTACAGATCTTAACGGTCAATCCTACATCCATGGACATTCTATGATGGGTCCTTCGTGTAATCTAATGTTTTCAGGTCATAAGGGTACAAGTACAGGTGTTGGAAGTAGTACCATTGCTACAACGACATCAGATTCACATCTTGTATCAGCACCACCACCAACACCACTTGATTCACGATCACATTTTAGTGGTGTTTCTTCTGGTAATTCAACAAGTTTATACTCTCGATCACTTCTGAGCGGTGCTTCCAATTTTGGCTCACCTCATAATCAGGCAGCTTCACATGTGAATGGGATGAATCAGTATGATCAAACCAATGGGTTACATACTATCAGTCAAACAGATCGTATGAATTATCCACGTTGTGAATTACAAATGGAAGGAATCTTAGGTGAGTATGGATTTTGGACTTCCTTACCTGTTTTTGGGTAAAATATTCTGTCTGTACAGGCTTCAGTCGTGTATATTTTATTATCTGGTTAACTTTTGTAACTCAGATCTTTAGTGACTGTTAGGTGTGTGTTGTTCCGTCTGTAAGAATAAAATCGTCTTCTGAATACCAATGTCACTATAAAAGGGACAGATATGCTGGAAGTTTGGATTAATTGTAGATGTATACTATAGATAAAAATGTGCCACTACTGGTTAAATTGAATTTCGAAAGGAATATGAAATCGTCAGAGTGTTATTCAGAATAATATGAATTGATTGATATCAGTTAGAGAATCATTGAAAATCAGGGGAGAGTACTGGACAGCTGTTTCACCCTAGTTTGGCTGTAGGACAAAGTTACTTGTAGTTCTAGTGAGAAGTCGTAACCAATGGGATCTATCAGATCCGCAGTGAGGATAAACAGCCCATGATGTTGACTAGTGGTTGCGGTAAAATCACGAATTGGTGGAAGTTAAAATTCGTGGGCCATTGGATGGGGAGTCCCAGTGGCTGAATGGTCTACGAGCTCTCCTTATAGCCGGTAGGTCCTGGGTTCCAAACCCAGTGGGTGTGCACTGCCAACGAGCTCCGAACTAGGACGAAACACTTGGCTGTCCCTTACCTTCAGCTGGTTTTCAGTGATTCTCTAATTGATGTCAATCTGTGGTCAAAGTTGAAACAAATTCAATTCCTGTAAACTAACTCTTGAAAATATCAAGTTTTACTTAGTAATAATTGTGCATTTCTCGACATGCTTTTATAAAATCACATTTTACATATACCCTATATCGTATGACTTGTATTTCATATTTTTTTTATTTTCAGGAAAAGGGGAATTCGGAGATGTATTCTTAGCTCGAGCTCGTCATATACAAGAAGGAGAAGCTCAGTCATTGGTGTTGGTTAAATCTTTGGCTTCACGTGATGCAATACATATCAATGAATTTCATCGTCAACTGGAACTGTTTGGTCAATCTGATCATGATTATGTTACACGTCTTCTAGGCGTTTGTATGGAGCAGGAACCTTTCTATATTCTCTTAGAATACTGTGAATGGGTAAGTATTAAGTGGAAAACAGGAGATTTTGCTCCTCACTAATTTTGAATTGATAGTTATTACCTGAAGAAGGACAAGGTACATTACAAACTTTCCTTATTCGTACCCACTGGAATCCAAACCAGCAGACATTTGACTCAACGATATGCAGAATGCAAGACAGATCCTTGTATGGAACAAGGATCTAGGAGTGTGTTTGTGGACCTGATGTTTTCTAATTTGAATTTAATAATCTCTACATTCAGTAGAATTACATATTAATTTGTTCATGTGAAATATCACACAGTGAAATAGTATTATTATTATTTACTAGATGACAAAGTTTCCAACACAATTTACTGTTCATAATCATATCACTTATAACTAAACAACTTCGAAACTTGAATTTTATAGTTTTTTTATTCCTTCCTATCCGTCGTGTGGGGTAATTCTTCTTATTCCTTTAGGTTCCCAGTAGAACGTAGGGCTTCAAGGTAAAGACTTGAAGTTTCAGTAGCAGTGGTGTTTATTTTTTACGGGATGGGGTCACTAGCCTCATGCCCAACCTTTCCCTTTACCACTCCTATTACCGGTTTAGCGAGGTCAAGGAGGGCATCGGCCAGGGATCGAAACCCGGACCACATGTGTGGTCGACGAGCATTCTACTGCTGTGACACCGACGCACATATATGGGGTAGTAGAATTTAATAATAATAATAATAGTTACGACCTGCATGAAAAACATGCACAGAATGATGATAACACCAAAGGTAAGGAATTCAAATCACCAATAGTACTTCCGTATAAAGAAGAAACCTTGGAAACCTTAAGGAGAATTCTTAACAATGCAGGAATAAAAGTGGCATTCAAAGCCACAAACTCAATTAGAAACAAACTTTGTCGGTTATAGGGTCTTGTGGAGGTAATTAAACAAAAAAACATTTAATTTATCTAATGCCCCTCAATGATTGCTATGTCAAATACATAAGTTAATGTAGCAGAACGGTGTCAGTCAAACTAGCGGAGCAGAATTTAGATTAGTTGACCCTACTAAGATAAGAAATCTGCAGGATAGTTCAGCTATACCACTCACTACGTACAATTACATACAACCATACAATAGGATGGGATAAGATGACAGTTTTAAAATCTAATATAACAGGGTGGAGGGAGAGATTGATAACGAAAACCCTACTTATCGAATCAGTTGCAAACGCGTGTGATAGGGATGATTCACGACCAGTCGCGGACATCCAGAAAATTCTACTACCCCATACGACGGACAGGAAGGAATAAAGAAAACTATAAAATTCAAGTTTCGAAGTTGTTTAGTTATAAGTGATATGATTATGAACAGTAAATTGTGTTCGAAACTTTGTCATCTAGTAAATAATAATACTATTTCACTGTGTGATATATCACATAAACAAATAATATGGAATTAAATACTACCACAGTGCCCAAGTTTTACACATATATTAGTCAGTAGAATTACTCCAGAAGTTTAGTCAACTTCAGTATGGTGTTAGGCTGTGACAGATATTACTGGTTACATAATAGGCTTTTCACAAGTTTAATCAGGTACTCAATAACTAATGGGACAAATTACTTGTCCCTAGTACTGTCAAGCGATAAATTGTCTGTTATTTCTGAAATATGAGTCACTGGGGAATAAGAATCATCTTGTTCTTAATAGAACACCCGATAAATAGTTCATTATATTCAAAAATTTAAAACAGTTAATCCCTTTTATAAATTTGGATAGTGTTATTAGAAGATTATTAATAGTCAGCTTGATAACTTGTGGAAAAATGACTTCCTTTAAATTAGGTTTTCGTCTTGTGTCCTCTTCTTTGGATAGGAAACCATCGAAAACCGCATAATACTGAATAGTTACTTCGTCTTACTTTGATCTCTGTATAGCAAAGTTTCCTTATGACTTTGTAAGAGGTCGACCTCAGAATCACTAAGTCTATACGGTCGAAAATTGCCTGTAAGAGATAGATAGACTGTTTTGAAGTCTTGTAGTCGTTTAAAACTGATTCCTTCGCATATTTGCAAATGTACGATTAAAGTTCTTAAAATTATATTGTTCCTTTGGGTTCCAAGTGGAGCATAGAGCTTAAAGCCTGAGATCTGAAGTTTCAGTAGCAGTGGTGTTTATTTTTTACGGGGTTGGGTTGCTAGCCATACGCCCAACCTTCCCTCCTTACCAGGCTTACTATCAGCTAAGCAAGGTTTAGAAGTGAGTTGGTCAGGAATCGAACACCAGGCCAAGCGGGGTGATGGGCGAGTATTCTACTGTTGAATCAGCGATGCTTAGGCAGTTACCAGTCATCAAGGCATGTCTGTTCCCTCCGAAAATTGAACCTGCGTCACCCAATGCTTGAAGTCAGAGACGTTACCACTGAGCTATTCGGGATCATAATTAAAATCTCATGTATTAATAAGTAATATTAATTTTTAACACTGATTGATCCAATTTTTTTTCAGTCTAAAGCCCTATCAGTTGACTGTCAAGAGGACCTTGAATTAGCTCTACTAACCAGAAAAATGTACTTGTAACTTTGACGAGTCTAACTTATCTAAATATATTTAAATCTTTCTTGAAGTAGAGCAGAAAGAAAGTTATCAAGAGCCAGTGATTATGTCGTGATACCTCTGAGACAACCGTTTCATAATTCGATTTAGAATGATGTGGTTTTTACATGCTGTTTAAAACATCATTCCGATGGTGCATATAGTGAGAGGGTTTTTGGACGATATCCTCTATCAATATTGTACTGGTTTTAATTATTTTCCTTATTATTAATCCAAATAAGCGCATATATGTGTAGTAATGAGTATGTTTCATTCATTCATTCATTTTTAATTCAGGGTGATTTGAAACAATTCCTACGTTGTATGCGTGAAGAAAACTCAGCACCATTTAAAATGCCCCCACTGACTTCTGCTCAAAAAATGAGTATATGCAAACAATTAGCCTTAGGCATGGATTATCTAGCCCATATGCATTGTGTCCATCGTGATTTAGCTGCAAGAAATATACTCCTAACACAAGATTTAGAAGTTAAAATATCAAGTCTTGGTTTAGCCAGAGATGTCTATGCAAATGAATATTACCGTCTACCAAATACAGAACAATACATCCCGTTACGATGGTTCGCTCCAGAGTTAATCCATGAAATTACAACCAATGCTTCCGCGGCTACAACTGCCAATCGACATATATGCAATGGACATGAAAATGAATCGATCAATCAACAATTAGCCAACCCATCAATACCCTATTCTACTCAATCAGATGTTTGGGCATTTGGTGTATTAGTATGCGAGGTGTTTTCATTAGCAGCACTACCATTAGCTCGGCTATCAGATCAAGAAATTATTGTAGCTGGTCAAAGAACAGCTATGCAGTTAACTGGTGCCAGTGGAGGTTTTAATAAATCAAACAAATCGAATCCGTCAGATTCAACATCCCCTCTGAAACCAGATTTAGTTGCTGATATCCCAGGCGAGTTGGGTAATCTACTCAATCGATGTTGGTCCCCAGCACCACAACATCGACCGACATTCAGTGAAATTGCCATAGTTATACGTGATCTTGCTTCATCATCATAATATTATAATTAAAAATCATCTTCTCCTTGCCGTAATCTAATCATGTATCCATTCTCTTTCGTTCTTTCATTTGTATGTTTCTGTAAGTATAATTTCGCTCTCCATTTGAAAATTTATTTCATTTTCAGGAGGGAGAAGGTTGAGGTTATTCAATAAAAAAAGTTTGTATGCATCACTAGTAATGACTTACATATATATATGTATAAATAAGGGGGAGAAAACCATTTTGTAAGTTGTACATGACACTTGATAAGTGTGGTCAAGTAATCATGTTAACTTTGAGTTCAGATGTCGATGTTAGTCTATGTTACCTTAGCAACATATATGATAACTGTCTCTCTCTCTCATTACTATTATTAATATTAGTACTGTTATTATTCCAGAACACTCGAATCAACAACAACCAAAGTATAACGATAATATATATTATCTTCTTTCTTTTACTTATTATTTATTTGTCAATAGTTGGCGTTGTGAAAGCTAAATATGATGATGTTTCCTGTCTAGCTGATTTGTTTTCACATTCATATGTTTATAGATCCATCATTCATTCCATGCAAGATAACATAATTGGTACCATAATCACCTACAAAAATAAAAAAGAAAGAGGAGATGAATATCTCTGAAGGTTGGTAAAAAGAGTAATGGAACTCCTTTTTCCAGATAAGTAAAGAAGAAATAACTCGTCAGTTACAGTGCCTGCTTTTGTCTCCTATGAACTATAATCATTGAACATATGTTTGTTTTAATTCTTAGCTTTATTATTATTAGCTGTTATTATTACTAAATGTCATTAGAGGAGGTCCCTGACAAGTGTGTGTGTATATATACATAGATACATTCATACAACTCACCAATTATATATATGTAAACATTTTTATTTGTACATATTATACCTTACTGAACACATTTCATTTTCTGATAATTATTATTACTGTAATACAATTTGAAACGAATTGACAGACCATTGGATTCTGCCTCAGTAACCTGAGGCCGTGAGTTGTATCCCTGAAGGTGGGCTGAGTCATGAATGAGTGCATACAGCTGAAGAGAGTCACAAACAGCGACGAAGCAGTAGTGAGCCAATAGACCCTGTGGATATCCAATGATCTCTTCAACTGAAGTCAATTCGTGATTCAAAATTGAAATATAATATATTTTAAATGGTGATGTAATAATTATAATAAGGATAAATCCTAAACTGCTTTTGAAGAATCAACTTTCCTTCTTTTCTAGCTTCCTAATTCATTTATCTTGTCTACTTAATAATAATTATCGGTGATTATTACTGTTATTGCTATTATTATTATTACTATTGAAAAGTCAATTTACTTACCCCGGTTAAACTTAGCTTTCAAATGAATCTTGAGCACTTTTGTTCTTATTTCTATTGATGGAAAATTTTGCTTCAAAATAGACATTCATTCGTACACACACACATACACACACAATACACTGGTGCTGACTGATACCAAAATATTGTTTGTGCCTAATATCTATATATAATACATATGTACTCAACAGACTCTACTTTACTAACCATTGCCATGTACACTGATACCCCCACCACTGGGTTTCTTTTTGCAGCTGTTTTAAGACAACAACAACAAAAATCTATTTGCACTGTACACACTATCAGAAATATGCATTTCAATAATAGTAATAATAATAACAATGATAATAATAATCGTAGGAGAGACAGGGAAGCACAGTTCTTCAGTCCCCCACCCCTCGCCGCCGCAGCCGCCGCCGTTGCACTTCTGTCTTTATCTTTTCTCTGCTTCCTGGTGTTTTCTGGTATAGGTACAATGCCTCCCTTGCTCCACCTCTTTCCATGTCTCTTTTTCTCTCTCTCTCTCTCTCTACTTGAGTGTATATCCCTTTTTATTCACTCACACCTTCATTTTCGGTTGGAAAAGAGAAATGCCGTGTCTTTTGTTTGTATGTTTTCATTAATTTATGGTTTGAGGAGAATTAAAACTTTGACAAGTCCTATTTTTACCTTTATTATTATTATTATTATTACTACTACTACTACGGTTTTACCACATCTCATATGTTGTTTGATTTCCGCGCGTATCAAAAGACAATGAAAATAAAAATACGTCTACATTTTGCATTTTTTGTTAAAAATTCTTTAAAAATATAGGTAATGAGGATATATTACTATTATTGTTATTATTAACGTTTTGGTGTAAAAGTGAGTGGAGAATAATACTCAAAGAGACTATGAGCTTTCTTTTCTTAGGCATCATACTCTGGAATTATTCTCTATGTAGACTTCTCTTTTATTTGTTTGTTTGTTTGATCATCTTTCATTTATGATGCCTCTTGATCTGTTTTGTACTTGTTCTTCTTCCTCGTCTTCTTCAGCTGTTTCAACATTATTTCTTACATTGAAGTGTAACATTGTTTGTGTTTTTATGACTTATTTACTTACGAATTTATCATTTTTGATTTTCTTCTTACTTGTTACTAAATTAATGGGGGAAAAAAATAAAGATTACATTTACTAAGCATTTGAAAAAAAATACATACATTTTATACGTTTACAAGGTTTTATTTTGGATTTTTCTTTTGGTTGTATGACATAAATGACGAGTGGAATATAATGTGGGAGGGCTTCAACAGTACATCATTCGACGGTGCCGTCAGCGTGTATCCGATCCATGTGCATTTTCTCCGGGATATTTGTTGGATGATAGGTTCCTAGACTTTCTTCTTGCTAATCCTTTCTCTTCAGTATGGAGCAAGTGATGGCAGCTATTGATAAAAATCTGTAACTGCCTGTTGAGAATGCTTTTGGTCACGCGCCTGAACCATATAGAATGACTGGCTAACTTAACATTGGTGTTGAAAATCTGAGTTTTGATCTTTATACTGAGATGGAGTACAGAAGATTTCCAAACTGGTTTCAGGTTGATAAAGGCGTATCTTGCCTTTCCTATTCTGGTTACCATTGACATCCTCATCCGTTCCACCCGCCTGTGGTTGACACCGTGTTTTTTGTATAAGTGACCTCTATCAAATCTCTCCCGTTGATGATGATTGGTGCTGGTTGTTGTTACTGTAAGTTGGTTGTCTGCATTACCTCCGTCTTCTTTATGTTCACCTGGAGTCCTGTCTTCGCTCCCTGCCCCTTCTGCCAGTTTGTTCGTTTTCGCCTGTAAGTCTTCGAGTTTGTTTGACATTAGATATAAATCATCCGTGAAATCCGGACCTTCTAGAGTCTTCTTATCGCTCCAAGGTATTTCTTTCTTCTCATTCCCAACGCACGGTCTGACGCATAATCCAGTCCACCACAATTAGGAATATCATCGGTGCTAGTAGTCAGTCCTGTCTTACTCCTCTCGTCGCTTCAAAGGCTTCGCTGAATCACTTGACACGTGGCATTGTCATATGGTTGTTGAATAAGATTGAGAAAAACTTGTGGCACTCCATAGTGTTGAAATAGTTTCCAAATCACTTCTTGATCAACGCTGTCTAAGGCCTTTTCGAAGTTGATGAAATTGATGTAGGGATTTGATTGGCATTCTATGGTCTTTTCGATGATGATGATGCATAGAGTCGCTATTTGACCAGCGCATGACTTAATTTTCCTGAATCTAGGTTGTTCCAGTCGGAGTTGTGCATCCAGTGCATCTTTTAGTGTCTCCATTTTGACAGGATTTAGTATTTAACCTGGATCGGACAACAGCAAGGTTCCTCGCTAGTTCTTGCAGTGGCCTAAGCTGCAATTCTTCGGTAGTTAGACAACGTATCCCTGCTTCTAGTCAGTAGGTACCTTTCCTTACTTCCAGATTGTTTGCAATAGTGGTGTCAGCAAATAGCACCCTCGGTATGAGTGAGGGTCACTCGAAGACACAAGTGAAAACGAGGCATTTTTGATACAACAGGCCGCGCATATAGCAGTATAAAGCCACGAAAATGCAACCTTATGTGTTTAACCTTGGAGTTTGAAGCCTAGACTATGTGAAACAACATTTAGTGTCAAAGAATAGTAAGTACTCTGAAGTTGTCCATATAAAAATCCTTATGAAAAATCTTACCAGTTCATAATTTAATGTCAATTGGCTTAGTAATATGCATATTGTTTATATCATTACCTGAATATGGCAAGGCTAAATTAATCGTCATTGTTAGAGTATGTCACAAAACGACTCGTTTCTTCTCAGTATTATTTTCAAAATCGATATATAGGAAGCGTAAGGTGAGAATCTATATACAAAATACAAGGAATTATTTGTTCTTCTGCTTTTACCTCTTCTCTATGCCTTAGTAAAATTTAAGGCGATAATAATTGTGTCAAGTTTCCTTTTGACCATAGAATACTGGTGCACTGACATGCAAGTTTCCACAGAAGTGCAGCAGTTCAAGTGGACACACTCCACGTTGCACAAAAATTTGAAGATATACAAAAAAACTATAATGAATAGAAGTTTTTGGAAAAAAGAATAGTCACACAGAAAAACATCAGGAATTAACGGATCTCAGATATTGCGAAATGGTTGAATGCATCTGCCCCACTTAGAAATGTTTTTAGCCATATCACCAACAGTCTTCAGTCACTAGTTTTTAGCATCTCAAGGATCAAAACCGAATTAGCTCAAACTAACTGTCAGACTCTTCGCAGACTAGTTCTAGGCTTTGTTTTAACTAACTCATTTTTGGAACTTAATCCTATTTTGGCTAACACTGCTTATCGAGGAAGGCGATGGCCTGACATACCTAATGCGTTCTGTAACCACCTCACTCGATGTAGCTTCACGACTTCATTGACTGAATTTTCCTTTTTATCTAACACCCGACTCCTAATCTCAATATTGCCCACCATATCGCACTGCATAACATAGGCGATAGAACGCAAATATCCGCGGTTAAATATAGCTAGCGTTTTCATGTCTTTCACTCTGTGAATAGCCCTATCTCACAGCCAAAAATGAGGAGAGAGAGAACTTCTGCGCACTAAACACTTCCTTTAATCGGTAGGCGGATGTCACGTCTATGCGAGAGATGACGTAGGTTAACAAGTGCCACCCTGTCCTTTTGTTTTTGTTCTGAGATTGCATTGATTCAGGCTGATGCAACTTCCCAAATAAGTAAAGTCGTCAAAACTTTATACCACTTCATTCCCTATCTTTAACCTAGGAGTCG